CACGAATAGATGGAATTGGAAAAAAATTTTGGGAAATCGAATGTCGCACAGATCTGACTTATCAGTCTCATGCTTTTTAAACTTCGAGAATGCGCCAATCTCGGAATTCCACAATCACGTGGACACCATTTTATGCTTTCCGATATATGTACAAGAATTTAACGCAACCCAACTAAGGTACACCTGTTTTTCATACAATTATATAGGAAAAAAATCTATCGTGTCTACATCGCACCCTCATCATACCTTCTGCTATCTCGGACTGGGCGATCTTAAATGAAGAATTAGCATTACGTCCGAAGGCGATAGGCGAAAAAATGTCTTAATAACCGAAAATTTGGTTTCACGAATGTCGGTTAATATAAAACCTTACATCTTTATTCCATAAATGAGGTTCTATCCAATCGGGGATGTGGGGTCATGACCCATTAATTAATATGCGCGGATTGAACAACGACGATCCGATTTTGTATAGCCACTGTGTGACTGCCTTCGGCAAGTTTCACCGGTATTTAAATCATAATAATATCCTTCATCATCGTCATCAGAAAAACCACAGAAGCTCCCATCATCAGAGAAATTCTTATAATTATCCTCATTATCATTAACGTCCTCATAAAACACACTTGCCTGTATCTCGGTTGATGAGTTGGAAACTCGAGACTCTGTCTCTTCCTCTGGAACCGTATCTAAATTAGAAAGAGTAGATGTATTACTTACCTCAAATTCCGGTAAAGTTTTCTTGATATCTGAAGATGACGCACTTACCTCAACTTCTAGTAATTCTGAATCTTTATCGTTTTCTTGGGGTGAATCTAAAAGAATCGATTCAGTAGGTATACTTACCTCAGTTTCGGATAAATCATCTGAAGAATTATTCTGTTCATCGGTGAATTCTATATCAGGCTCTTTGGTGAAGTGATCTATAATCGTTTGAATCTGAGAATTAGTAAATTTTGAAATAGTATCCGCACTATATGTTTTGATGTATTGAATCTTATCCATTCCTATTTTCTCGAATAAATTATAAACCTTTCTGGCTTTCTGAGTTTGCTTTTGTAAAGTTTTACGCTTGGCATTTAGTTGTGCAATAATAAAATCATAAATCTGCCCTTTTGCTTTCTTCTCTCCAATATTGTCAGATTTCATAAGATCTCTAACCTGGTTGTCAAATTCTATAATATAATAATACCAGCATGTAATTTCATCTTGATTAACTTTAATCGCCTGCTTTTCAGCATCACAAGCTTTCTGGTACAAACTGGTCAAATTTAGTAATATTTTGTTTTTTGATGCGGAAAATAAAATAACATGATCTTTCTTATTACTTGTCTGAAATAAATTATTGGTCACATGATTTTTGGCGAACTTTTCATCAAAATAGTTCGCTGAAATTTCAGTCACATGCTTTTCTTCCTCAGATGAAATCATTTCTCGAATTAAGCCCTGTTCGTTTTTCCGCTCATGGGAAGTAGATGCAGTATTCTGGGAAATCGA